CCCCCCCCCCCCCCCGGCTCCCCATCTAGAATGCCCCTTTTCGGGCGCGGCCGCGGGAGACATCCCCCACCGCCCGCCCACAGCATGCGGAGAGCGGTTCGCCGGCTGGCCCAAAGCAGCCGGCCCGAATGCAGTCGACCTGACGGACCGTATCGTCGGCGGTGGCTCGTGGCCCCCTGGTGAGGCCCCGAGCATGGGGGCAGTGGGGCCAGACGGCCCTTCGGCCGGGTGCTGTTTCTCGCTCCCTTCCCCCCCCCCTCTCTCTCCCCCCGTTCCTTCCTCTCGCTCCGCCGGTGCCGGAGAGAAGGGACCAGTCATTAGGCCGGCCCGGATCTCGACGCTCGGGGCCAGGGCAATTTCCGAGGGCCCCCCGCTTGCCCCGGCTCGGGCTGGTCATCGGACAGACAGAGGCCGAACAAGGAGGCGAGGCCGGGTGCCAGGGAATTCGTCATCCTGGAACCCCCCCCCCCCCCCTGCAAGGCGACCGCTGTTTCGGTTGAGGTGCCGAGGGCAGCTCCCTGGCGCCGAGATTCCTGGCGCCGACCCGCGGACACTTGGCCCCAACGTGGCCTCCCCGAAAGCAGCGGGCCGGGGGGGAGGGGGGGGGGGCGGGAGGAGCAGCTGAAAACATACCCGCATCTCCCCGACGTTTGGGGGATCCGGTCAGTCTGAGTGGGCGGGGAACGAGAGGGGGAGGCGTGCCGGGGCAACTCCGGGTGTCGCACGCCGGCCAGAGCCCGGACCGCCAGGCATGACCTCCCGCCTGGCCTAGTGTAAGGCTCTCCGGGTTGCGATCTGCCCCTGTGGCCGACGAAACCGGGTGCGAATCCCTCACTCATTCCCCTCCCGGCCGACGCCCTCTGGGCGGGGCGGTTGGCACGCGCTCCCCTGGCGAGACGCCGCTTGAAACCACTCAAAAGGGCCCCCGAAGATGACCCCCCCCCCCCCCCCCCGCGAGGGGAGGACGCACCAGTCCCGGCTGGGCGCCCACACAACGCGATACACAGGGGGCATGGCCTCCAGTCCGGGCCGGCCGCGGCGCCTGTCCGCCGGAACACCATCGCCCCTGCACTGATCTGAGACCGGCCGAAAGAGAAACCCCTGCGGGAGGGCTTTTCGTACTCGCCACGAAGTCCGACGCCCGACTCCTCCGGGCCGCGAGCGCGGGACAGCGCCCAGGAGCTGGCTCCCGGCCGCAGGACAACGCAAGAGGCCCTGATGGGGAAGTGCCACGCGTGAGGATCTCGTCCTGCCGCACAATCCCTCCTCCCCTCCCCGGCCGCGGCTTGCTCCGCTACCCCTCCTCACACTCGCCGTCGCCTCGCCTGCCCTGCCCGCGGCCTTTCTCCGGCTTACACCCATCCAAAGCGCCGGGACACCTGCCCCAGCTGTGCCCGCGGCCCCGTCCTCCATAGTAGTGGCAGCAGCAGCAGCAGCAGCAGCAGCATCGTCATTGGGCATGCTTCCAGCCACGCCCCCCACCAGCCCGCCATGTGTTCGGTCATCCCGGCCCCATGGCACCCCGTCCCTCAGTCGGAGTCTCTTCCACCCGGTTGTCGAGTCGAGTGATCCGAAGTTGGACGTTGCCTTGGAAGGGCGCCATGGCCAGGCGCTGCTGCAGGCCGGCCTGCACCCATTGCACTCGGTGCAGGCAGATGCCCCGATCGGACGCCGGGTGTGAACACGCTCCGCGCAAGTCCCCCCCCCCTTGCCCGAGCCAGTGCGTCCATACCCCCTGTCATTGCATCGCCACCCCCCTCACCATAGACCGGCCTGGGGGCGCGGGCAAAGTGCCTGCGGCCCCTCGGGCCACGCCCCTCCTCGAGGCCTAGATGTTCCCCCCCCCCCCCTGCGGCCCTCCCCCTCCCCCTCCGTTCCCCTTCAGATGCCTCTCGAGAATAAACCTCGTCTCCGGATGACTGAGTGCTGTTCTTCGGGCTTCTCCGTGTGTTGCCATTCATGCTTTGGTGATTGCTCCCCTTTGTCCTTCTTTACCGTTACCCTTGCACAATGTCTCCCCATTGATCGCGGCTGGCGTTCCCCCCCCCCCCCCCCCCCCCGCCAGGTGCGCCTCCCCACCGGGGGG